ATTTGTTTTGTAGAATTAGGAAAATATGCAGAACTGTACGAGGTACACAATTCATAGTATTCTTGGAAATGTTTTTTTTAAATGAAATGTTTGTTTCGTTTTTGGTGCAGGATGTTCTTGAGATCTTCAAAGGGTTGAAATATATTCTATATATTTTGTGGGCAGAACATTAACTGCTTATTATCTGACATTAACAGCAATAATACAACCCCCCAAAATTAAAACACATGTGTTTGTAACTTTGTTTTTAAAGAAGGTTCCTTCAATGGTCTCACGTGTGTGTCTGTGTGAGTATGTATGTGTGTGTGCGATATTTAAATTGCCACAGCTAAAACAAATTTCAATATTACAACTCTTCTTATTTTAAAAAATTAATGGCAATAACTGACATTGGTGAGGTTTATTTATGCGATAGGTTTTCATACGGAATGAATTAGGGCTGCATTTAAGAACGGTGTTACACAAAACAAAATCTGAATATCATTGGAATACAGTATTGCAAAGCTGCTTCACCAGAATAAATACAATATTGTTGCCAAATCTAGACATATGGAGGTGGGAGAAATCAGGAGAAGTGATTGTGTGTGTGTGTGTGATTGATTATGTGTGTTTGTATGTGTGTGTGTGTGTTCGTGGGATGGGGGGGGAGGAGAACAGGAATCATTGTCCTGTATTTATTGTGGAATCACCCCAAAGTTGACTGAGTCCTCATCCCCATTACAGTGGTCACAGTGGTACTTTCCAAATATCTACATCATTCCTTTATTATTATTNAGCGTCTTTTATCAATAGTTTGCATTACTAAAACAATGACGTCTTATTTGATTAATGATTAGAATCCTTACATTTGATTTACCACCTTTCACATCAGGACGGGTCTCAAAGCACTTCGTAGCATATGCTGTGAAGTGCAAAGACTGCATATTTTGTAGGGTTTATTTGAAATCCTTTACTACTGCCTGGAGGCCACTGATCACAAGATATTTCTAAAAATGGAAGTGGTGCACGGAACTGGCATATGGGTACTGACACAAAGCCATGTGTTTGGTAACCCTAGCAACTAAATTGGTCATCTATAACAGCTGCATTGGCACAGAGACCAAGAAATTCCTGGGATAATGTGAGAATCTGCAAGTGTCTTTTTCTTTAAGTACGCAGAGTAATAAATGTCTCACATTGAGGTTTAACACTAAGTGGGTCTCACTTGGCCCAGCTTCTTTCTCAGAAAGATGGCACACCTCAATATGGCTCCCTTCTGCTTGAAAACGGGTGAGTAAGCATACGAAGGTTCTCCTGCCCACTCAATGTTCTGCTGTTTACCAGGGGATGTGCTGCAGTAAGCAATGTTTATTTTCCAGTGCTGAGTAAGTTCTACTTGGCACTTAAGCTCTGTTATATCTGCGATTGGAGTATTTAATGTGTCACTATGAAAAAGCCAAACATAACCCCGTCCGATAGCCATTCCCTTCGATTGAAAAAAAGATTCACGTAACATTTGCAATCTGTCATCTCAACATTTTTTAAATATTAATCACCCATGATTACTTCTCTTGACTAATCACTCAGCTGTGTAAACAGACACTTTGGAAGTCTTGTTCCAGTGGTCAGGGTAGGATTTTTCCGTTATGGCGTAGATAGAATAACTCTACAGTTGTCTGTTTTCACAGTGAGGTAAGCAAACACCCTAACATGAAACACAATATTAAGTGAAGTTTTCGAGTCTCTCTCTGATCTTACTGCTAACAAGCTTCCTCCGTATGTAAAACATGGGGATGGTTGAAGGAAATATTTCTAAGTTTGTTTCCTTTAAATCCCAAATGTATTTCTTGCAAAGTGTATTTATGTTGTGTATCTTTTGGAGTTCCAAATGAGTGGTTGTGTTGGTTTGAGGTAATGTAAAGATAGCCTACTGCTCTACTTATCAATAGCAATGAGATTGGTGGGATGAGGATTAGTGTACATATGGATCATGGGATTTTATATTTTCCTTTCTTTGTTTCTGTTTTTAGTTACCATTCAATCATTAGAATTAGCGAAGATACAAATTTCTGCTGGAGTTTTTAGAAACAAAATTTGTGTCTGAAAAGTTGACCTGATTCCACCATTGTATTGATAAGCATTTCATCCTTGAGTCAGATCATTCTCAAAGAGGCCCCATTTATCTCCCTTTTTGGGGTTTCTCCTTCCTGCCTACCCCCCCACACCAAACCCAGGGAAAATAGTCATCTTCTGGATTGATGGATATGAGTTTCAACCAACAGTGCACAAACGAGAAAGCATCTGTCCATTACTGAAGCTAAAGTTGAAGTGGAAATGCTCAAAGCATTTCAAAGCGTTGCCACCTCTCATCTTCACAAGCCAAAGATTCACCAACAAATATAGAGGATACTTGTTCCAGCTCAAAATTCAGAGTTGATGCATTTTATAGTGTTTACTTAAAGAGAAGATTGGATAAAAGGACACACTCTGACTCAACACAACCCTCTTGTATTTACACGTTAAATCTCATCACAGTTGCTTTATGTGCAGCCTAAAATTTGTGAGTGTTGGATAAATGCTTTACTTCAGACTTAGCTGGCAGCTTTACTGGTGGATCTATTCATTATTCAATGGGAATTTTTGGTGCTTTTGAAAGTAGTGAGTTATATCGGTTAAACGGTAAATCAAGGACTTTACTGTTCATCGCTGCTTGGGTGGAAATTTAATTTAGACGATTGAGGTTAGTGATTAAGAAATAAAATGTTAGTCTTCTCCCTTCTGATCTTCTGCTACCTGAGACACAATTCTAATGACCACCAATGTCCCTTTATATGTATAATTTAACAGTATTTGGCATTTGTCCACTTTTAATAGAATATCACAAAGCCAACTTTTCAAATTAGACTTTATCACCAAATAGTAATATCCAATTCTATTTTTAAAATCTTAATGCAGCGGATTGGAAACTAAAATGAAACAGTTTTCCTTAGTTTTTTTTTTGTCTTTCAAACATTAAGGATTTTAGCTGTACAGTGATAAACCCAACTAAATTCAAGGACAGGCTGTGCTTCTGTGCTTCAAGACAATTGATGAGAAATAATCTAAATGCATTTGAATGCTTTCCATTGAAACAATCCAGCAAGAATTAATTGTTGAGGATGACAATTGGAGAGTAGTGGTGGGCAAACGATCTGTTTCCTGTATCTTCTTACTTGTAATTTCCGTGGATTCTAGGTACCTGGATGATTGGTGGAATTAGGGGAAAGATCATGTTAGTTTGAAACTGAGATACTCAGCCTGAGTGAACATCCTAAAACTGGAATGATAATGGGAAGTTCTTCCGACAGATCAGTTTGCCACAGAAACCATGATCAGGTAATTCAGGAATAGTAAATGAATATTGACACTTGGCTAGTGGGATCAGTGTTACTGAGTTAATTTCAGAAAGATGGATTGCACTACTGTAAAAGCAGAGCCATTGTTGCTATAGAAAGAGGTTAAGGGACTCAGATATTTTCACTCTTGGACAGGATAACACACACATTGTTCATCACGATCTGGAAAAGTTCTAATTGTAACATGTTTTTGTAGAAGTTCTTGTCATTTGAAATCTTTTGATTATTCAGACCTGCCAGTATCGCCTCTAGATAAACAGAGGCAAGGAAACTTGCCCAAAATTTCGCCCTGCCTGGGAAACGAACATGGACCCTTTTGGTTGTGAGGCGAGAGCTCTGACCAGCAAGCTACAGCATTCCAAATAGATTACGTCAAAGGCAAGTTCTCATGGGTCTGTGTTAAGGCAGTAAGGTTGCAGGAGATCATAGAGGTAGGATGGGTTAAGTCCATGGAGGGGATTGAATGTGAGGACACGGATCTTGACTTTGATCTGCTGGAGGCATGGGTTGATAGGCTCACGGAATACTTGAGATGCAGAGTTCTGGATGGTCCTCAAAAAAATATTACTCACTACTTACTATTCTTTCTAGTCTTAAAGTTACATTGGGGTTGATTATGCGATGATTTCTAACTGGATTTCATAATAAGAAATCTAGTGGGAACCCCAAAGAATGTAACTCATTCTGACCTGGTGGAACTCTGCTCCCAAAGTAGATTGGGCCAGAGAGGAACTCCAAGGTCTTAGACTTTTATGATTATAATGAAGGAAAACACCACTTGGGATTAGAATTAAGAGACTCCTTAAAGCTTTATTAAAGAATCCTGTTAGCTATCATGGAAATATAACCAACCCGCTGTATAAAGTCAGCTGCCAGCTCAGTATTGCCAATGATGGCAACAGATGTGTGAGGTATTCCTTTACAAGCTTTACCAACTTCTTTGTAAACACTAGGCTACACATAGCCTGATTCTTTGGCAGTCTTTTCTTTTTTTTGAACGATGTTGAATTTTTTTTTCTGACATGCAGCCAAGTTCTTTTATTGGAACGAATTGCTCTTGAGTAATTCTCTTCCCAGGCTGTTCCAGGGAGCCTGGGACTTGGTACAATTTCATGGTGGTCCCAAAGACACAGGCCTCTCTATTCTCAGGGAAATGATGGGAAACAATTTGTATATGAAATATATTGTGAGAAACATAGCGAGAGAGGGCGAGTGTAGTAGCAAGTTTCAATAGCACTGTATGCTATTCGGGCAGAAGAAACTCGGCTATTTTAATACGCTGGAAAGAAAACATTGCATACTTTAGTGGTTAAACAATTAAACAGATAGCAATGGATGGTGGTTATGGTTTATGAACTGGAAACATCTAACAGCTTTTCCAAGGACAAGCAAGAATTATCTTGCCTCTAATCCTGGCATTTGCTTCCATAAATTGTATTATCATACAATGCCAAGACCCTGACGCAAAGCCTAAGATTATTTTCATCTGAATTCCCCCAAACTATTTGCTTGTCTCGGGTTCTGTCGCTATCATCCTTTAACAACCCTTTTTAAACAAAGTTAAGTATTGTCTGAGGCATCTTAAAGGCGGCATTGTAACTAACGGTCTCATTGTGCTTGTAACAGAAATGGTGAGCTGATGCTACAGAATGGACAAGTCATTACCAACGTCATGGATTGCTGCATTTGTTGACGGGAACTAACTGTGACCCCTTGTGTGGCCGTGGGGAGAAGTAAGTGATTTCAAATCTGAAAATATTTTTACCAGCAGTTAAACTCAAATGCACTGATGGTTAAATACCCAAAATACATGGTGGCTTTGGAGAGTAAAACACATCTCCGGTATTCTATTACTTTGATCAGCATGTTTTATCCAGTCATTTAATGTCTACCAGGGGAGGGAATGTATCAAATGCCTGGCACAACTTGGTCAAAAATATAAACAAGGGCTTCCCTGTGTATCCTTAACTTTTTTAACCAGTTTGCTCTAAAACCAAATTGTAAGGTGTCTAACCAACTGGTTGCATCACTATTTCATGTGTTATTTTATATGAAACCATATAATGAGCTGCATCAAGGTTTGTCACTTGCATTCATGTTTTGGACATACTGAGTTCAGTTTTGGGCACTGCACCTCAGGAAGAATATATTGGCTCTGGAGGGGGTGCAGCACAGATTCACCAGAGTGATCCCAGGGCTTCAAGGGCTAAATTATGAAGACAAGTTGCATAAACCTGGTCTGTATTCCGTTGAGTTTAGAAGGTTGAGGGGTGATCTAATCGAGTTGTTTCTTTTTTAAATAGTAGAGAGATTCAACAGAGCAGCTACACAGAAACTATTTTCTCTGGTGGTGGGGGAATCCAGGACAAGGGGGCATAGTCTTATTGCAAAAGGGATTAAGGGATATGGGGATAAGGCACAAAGGGTTGTGGAAATCTCTCTTCCTCCAAAAGGCTATGGTGCTGGTACCATTCAAATTTTCAAGACTGAGATGGATAGATTTTTGTTAGGTAAGAGTATCAAGGGATATGGGGCAAAGATGGGTAATTGGAGTTGAACTACAGATCCAATAGAATTTTGGAACAGGCTCGAGGGGCTGATTGGCCTACTCCTGTTCCTGTGGTATGTTACGGTATGTTAGCAGTTACAATAAGTAAATGTCATAAATTTTCAAGCAGACCACTGAAGTACTGTAATGTCATTGTTTTATGGATGTTTGTAGTTGAAAGATGGGTAAGGTTAAGTGTTCAAAATTCTAGCAGATGGAACTGCTGAAGCAAGTTGTGACTAAATTTTATTTTAATACTAAAGGCCCTCGACATCTCAGAAATTGCTATAACCTTGTTCTGTTGTAAATACATCCTCCGGTGGGATTGGCGAAATGGAAATCTTTTACATATTGATATTCCTGAGGTGGTGAGATTGTTAGTGTGGTACACAGTGCAGGCACCAGATGCGATGATTAAGGAATGGGGTTGAACTAATAGTGGTATTTTATAGGAAGACAAATTATCGTCAGGAGCAGAAAGTCAGAACTGAAGGAGGAAGACGGGGTAATAAGTTAGTTAGCTAAAAGCACCTAACAGTGGGAGATGGCTTGCTTCCAATGCCATTGAGAAACTGAGTAAATGACAGTGCTAATGTGATTTTGAGGCACTGCTAAAATGGTGTTTTAATGAGGGCATTGACATTGTCATTCAGCAGAGCTTTTGGAGTCATCACAAATTACGAGATGATAGCTTGCATAAATTTGGATTTTAAACTGAAACCCGATTTGCCAAGGGAGCTTCTAAAATATTGATAAATGCAGATCAGGAAATGATCCGTTTCAACCAGAATGGTTTCAACAACCCTTTTCAACAGATTTATACTTCCTGATTGCTGATTGCATTGGCCGGGGCTCGAGTATAACATTGCACAAGAGGACAGATGAAGAAGGCTCTTCAGCCCACATGTGTGGATGAGTGAGGAGTGAGAAATGGGAGAAAGCTAGTCTCTATGGACTCACTTACATATTGCAATTTTACATAGGCCACATGTCTCTCTGCATTCCACCTAAGTCTCTGTGTCCTGAAGTAAGAGATCAAGAAAATACGTGGTAGGTTTCTGAGGGATTACCAGTCCTCTCCAACATTTAGCTGAGAGTGATCAATGTGTTGCAGCCCGTGCTGGCTGTGGTATACTGTAAGTCCCCCATGCCTGTGTTCCACCATCGGTGGCCTCACCCAACTTCTGGAACGCTCTTCCTCCATCCCTGTGCCTTGCCCCTCCTTCCCTATCTTCAGGTCGCATCTGTAGACCTTCTCCTTCGACCGTGTCTATGGTCACCTCCCCCCTTCCTCCGGCTTGGCATCTTGCTCCGCCACTCTCAAGTGCTCTGGGACGCTACCCTGCTCTGCAAGATCATGGTGAAGAATATAACAAAGCTTGCTTAAAAATGATTGACACGTACAGACTTTATACATCATTTGTCTACAATACATCTGACTGAAGTGTTAGCAAACAATGTGCTTGCTGGAGAGAAGCTGTCTCTACAAAGCTGTATTAGGCATTCAGGTGGTTCCTGCTGCTAGTTAATTTGTTTCAATTATTTCAATTATGCTTACTATCAAGTGGCTTGTCCTCACGTTGTACTCGAACCACGTACATAAGGGCAAGGATTAATTTACGCACAAGTAAAATGAGGTGCGGCCGAATGTGCTTTCCTATCTGAACAATGAGCAGGATAAATGCTTCGTAATTCAATACTCAGGCAATGTGACGCGAGAAGTATCAAGGAAGCTTTGCAGTCAGCAGAAATTAACCCCAACACAGATCAAATTCCAAATGACCAGCGAAGTTTAGTAAAAGTATAATTGTCACTGTTTTTCACAAATGCGGTGTGTATTTCTGCAAAATTGAGAGGGAATCAACAAAGACGGAGATGTGGGGGTACTTAAGCCTGTTCCACATTGGGGAACATTGATATCTTTTTGATTGCTTCAGTACATAAAGGACTAACATCACAGGCAAAATGTCACTTGTGCTCCACTTTATTATCATTGTGGTTCTGTACTAGATATCAGCAGACATCGATATCCCTGGCCATTGAAGGCCAGCAAGGATGGTGAGTGGAAGGGGGCGAAGCAACAACAACAGCTTGTATTTATATCGTGCTCTTCACACCTGGTAGCGTCCTGGAGCTCTTGACAGTGGTGGAGTCTGACAACAAGCAATGGGGAGAGGGAGGTGGGAGGTGACCGTAAGCACGGTCAAAAAGGAAGGTCTTTAGGCGGGATTTGAAAATAGGGAGAGAGGGGCAAGGCGACGGATTGAGGGAGGGAATTCCAGATCTTCAGATAGGAGTGGCTGAAAGCACGGCCGTCGACGGTGGAGTGGGAGGGGATGAGGGATGAACAGGAGGCTGGAGCCGGCCGAGCGGAGGCAGCGAGTGTTGGAGGGGTGGGGGAAGTGGAGGGTAAGCAAATTGGATAGGTAGGGAGGTGCGAGGGCATGAAGTGATTTGAAAACAATTTTGAAGTCGAGAAGGGTGTGCTGGCAGGACTCTACATGTGCATGGGCCGCGGAACTTTTTTAAATTCCGTTTCTGACCTGATCCAGCTTGGTACGGATTCCCGGAGTCTGGTAAACCTGAGGTTTACTGTGGTGTATTGTATGTTACTGTAATGCTGTTCTACTGCCATCCAACTACAAATAAAACAGTGTGGACATGGAAGAGGTAGTTTGTTGCTTCTAGAGGCTAAAGACTTTACTTTTGCTTTCCTTAGGAGAGTACCAGTATAATGTTTAAGGCTATATTATATGGGAAGTGGAATGGAGAGAGGGAAATCTCTTGGTAGTGTACTTGATGGGCCTCTGACACTGTTTTTCACTGTTTTCTACTATGTATACATGGTTATAAGTCAGAAGTCAAGTGAAATGTACTCAAGGAACAGTAAAAATCTACTGTGGTGCATTGTTCACCATCATTCAACTTAATGGGGACAAAAAAAATCCAGGAAGGGACTATTATTTAAATGGTTAGAAAATAATCTGTACGGAAAATCAAAAGGAACTGGAGATCCTGATTGATAATAAAATGAAACTATCGCAACAATGCTCAGCAGCAGCGAATAAGCTAAACCAGATGCTGGGCTGTATTAAAAGGGCAATATTGAGCCAAAATAGTGAGCCAAACAACTCGTTCCAGGACCTTGGAGAAGAGAGGGATGTTGAAGATGGGGCGGTAGTTTGAGAGCTGTGATGGGGTCCAGGGAGGGTTTTTTTTAAGGGTAGGAGTGATGACGGCTGGTTTTAATGGGGTGGGAACGATACCATTTGACAGTGAGAGGTTTATGATGTCTATGAGTAGAGGGCAAGGAGGTGGAGCTGGGAGGTAAGGAGAGGGGTAGGGATGGGGAGCAGGTGGTCGATTTCATGCGGGTTATAGTGGTGGTGAGAGAGGAGTGGGAGACAGGTTTGAAGGTTTGGAGGGAGGGATGGGTAGGGGCTGGGGGGAGATGGGGAGGGGGAAGTAGAAGGAAGGAGACAATAAAATGTATTATAAAGATGGAGGGGATAGGGAATAAGCAACTTCACAAATATATGAGACGTACTGTAAGGTGCGTGGGTTTGTGTTAGTGATCTAATGTCAGCCTTGCTCAGTGTTTAGCACCTTGCTTCTCTGAGTCAGAAAATTGTGAATTCAAGCCTCACATCCGGAACTTGAGCTCACGGTCTACATGAGCTCAAAGGTTGAGATTCTCCAGGCTTCCTGGCCAAAAATCCCTCAGATAAAAGTTGGTCAATGACTTTATGGCTGTTTGTGTGATGTTGCTTTGCATAATTTGGCTACCGTGTTCACCTATAGTATACAATTACACTACACTTTGCAAAAAAACTCGACACAATGAAGAGCTATATCAAATGCAGGCATTATTATTACTATTTTATTATAATGGTGTGAAGTTCAACAATGTGCTTCTGATATGTAGCAAGATGATGGAATTAGAGTGAGATTGGTCACATTGCATACTGGTACCTTAATCTGCGCTTGTGTTGAGAATGTATGTATTGCGTTGAGAGCTCACAGAAAGTCAGCTCCATAGGCAGAGTGTTGTACGTTTGGTTGCGTACGTGTGTGCCACAAGGGATGTCAGATGACAGTGGCAAATCCAAGATTTATTATTAGACACTACCTCTTGCCTTAATCTGGCATTGGTCCAGAACCTAGCGATGGCTAGGACTGATTGGC